TGGGTGGGATTCACTAAGAGCGTTATAGAAAATTTTTACAAAATATATACAATATATAAAATCATTTTGAGAATATCAGACCCATAAAAAAACAAGTAATTTTTCCCCGAATTTTTAGTTTTTAGTAATTATTTTAAAATAAATTTTGAAGTTGAAGTTGTCACACATTTGTTAAAGTGTTGGAGTACCAAATTGAAATACTATTTGATATCGTTAAGGAAAAATGGATATAAAAGATAAGCTGTTTTGAAATATCTCATAACAAAAACTTTCTAGCCCCATCACAATTAACCATTATTATTTTAAAGGTCTCTCGTTAAAGAAATTATTTTTATCCTACTCCTAGAGTGCGTAAAAGAAACCTAAAATAACTGCGAAGTCCAAGAGCACCGCAACCATTTTGCAAACTCATTAAAAATTTAAAAAAAGCACCGGCTAAAAAGGACATACAACAACAAGCAGAGCTTGCACTCTGCTTCCATCTCTTTTACACTGACCTTTGCTCTCAGCTTTATTTGCATCTCTGTTTTCGGTCTCTTTCTCTCGCAGCTTTTGCACTTTTTGTTTTATATTTTATTTTTGCACATTTTGCTGGATTTTCAAGTTCTTTTTGTTGTTGTTTAGTTTAGTTCGTTCTGCACTGCTCTGCATTTACAGTTAGTCCACTCTGCCACCCTTTTTCTCCTCCTCTCGTCCTTAACCCTTACCCCCTCCCCATTTTCACCTCTCTTTTGAGTGTGTGTGTGTTTGGTCATGCTTGCATGTCCTTTGAATGGAAATGAACAGAGGTGAAAAAGGAGCAGATATAGCTGAAGAGAGATAAGGTGAAAAAGGAGGGGCAAATCAGAGATACAGTCGCCAAAAAAATATATATATCATAGCTTAGAATCCTGATGTAATATTTATGAGAGAGATAAAGGAAAGAAATATCCTTTAAAATGTTTAAAATGTTAAAGGAGTAAATCCAAAAAGGTAAAAAAATGGTATTAAAAAATAATACATTTTAAGCAACATGTTTACCTCTAAAGCAAATTTTAACAAAAGGTCAAAGTACTTTTATATTGCCTATTTTTTTTGTTAGTGTATCAAAGCTGCATAGGCCGTTGACGTTTTGTTTGTTGAATGTCCAGTTTGTTGTTGTTTGTGCTGCTATTTTCACGTTGTTGCTGTTTTTTGTTGGCATTTATTTATTCAACTAAATGCAGATTGCACATTTCAGCATTACCGTTCATTTTGCTTTTAGTTAATCACGGTATTTTTGCTTCTTTTTGCGAAGGAGTAATAATCTGTCATATAGGAATGTTTTAAATGGGTGACAAGCAAGTTCGTAAAAAAGTCAGTTTAGGAATAAATATGTCTGATTAAAGCGTTTATAGTTCTTATGTTTTCTGTGGGTTTGGTTTATAAAATAGTTTGTAGAAGTGAATATGCAATATTAATATAAGCTTTAATCACTTCGCGGTGCATCAAAATTTTTACAGATTTAAGACAATAACTGTTAACCTTTATATCATTGTTATTATTATGCTCCTTTTTTGGTTATTAGTAGCGCATAAACAAAATTAGATATATCTATTTAATTTTATTATGCATACACAATTTCAACTCCCACTATTCCAAAAACCTCATTCGAATGAGTAAATATAAAGAACAGCTATTTGCATATCGATTTCCCCACACAAGAGCCGCACAATGAGCAAGTTTACCTGAAAATGCAATGGAAATGGCGGACATATTCCTTCAAGGATCCCTTAAATCCTCCCTACGCTCCCTTTCGGAGTCCCCGAAGAGTTGTGCTTTTGTGCGATTTTGCAGCTGCAACTGCTCAACTCCAGTAAAAGCAGCCATAGCAGCAATGCGCCTGCAATGCCCAAGAAAAGGTCCTAGGACCATGCTCCTGAAAATGAAAAAGGGTAGGGTTAGCGGAACAGGACGATAAGAGCTCCATGGGCAAACAAAGTCAAGAAAGCCGCGCTGTAGATGGCATCAAAATGAATATGAGATTATATTTAACTAGTGGTGGTTTAGCGATGTGAGGGGGTTTCAAATTAAACGGGTAAGAATAGATGCACATAAAAAAATATTAAGATCTTCTATAGTTCTTAATTTAATTTGAAACCATAATAATAAAAGGAAATTCAAGTTTTAATTATTGTTAAAATACACGTCTTATTAAACGAAACCTAAATCAAATATCATTCGAGAATAAATGGCTGCTGTTATTGTTTCTGCCAACACCTTTTTTTATTGTAATAAGGATAACTAATTGGATTACGGCTGAGTTATTTTCTGTGTATATATGAAGATAGACGGAGAATTAAGAGGCTGTGGGTTCGGGGAGGAGAGTTGGAGAGTCAGAGAATCCTTGCCCGCTGGCGGGCTAAAGGTGAGCAAACAAAGACGCTGATAAAACGAAATGCCAAAACGACAATTGAAACGCCCAACAAAAGACAGGGGTTTCCAGGGGTTCGAGGGGGTCCAGGGGGGAGATGCTACGAAAAGGGGGTGGACTAGTGAAAAAGTCAACTCAAGAGGGATCCACGAGACCGGTGGCTGCCATTTTTGGTGTCTGCGCCTCATCCAAATCAAGTGTGAACCGAATACGGCCAAAGGTGGCCCTCTACCGCCCTCTCTTTCTAGCACTCCCTGCCCACCATACAGCTCTCTCTGTCGTTGAACCTCCTCCATCACATCACTCCTCTATGTATCATCTTCCCGGGCTCTTGAGCTCTATCTCTATATAAATATTTTAGGGGCGGTCTCTTCTCACTGCCTCTCTCTTTCACCGTAATATTCCAATTCGACATTTTGTCTTTTCATTCATAATGCAGTCGACGGCGACGGCGACGTCGGCGTCAGGATATGTTTCATCCAATCTGAACGTGATGATGAAGTTCTCCTTTTGCCTGTCGGTCGGATTGATTCCATCCCTCTCTGTCGCTCTGTCAGGATATCTGACTCTCTGTCTCTCTCTGCACATATCGCACCTCTCACTCTGACAAATGTCCAGGATGTGTACAGGACTTTTAGGGGTTGATTCACCGCAATTCACCCCCAGACCTCTGCGTATGTCCTTTTCATATTTCTTAAGGCCCGCACCGTCTGCTGTTTGCCTTCATTCCGCTTCGGTCGCTGATCCTGTGCTGAACGCGTCCTGCTTCTCGCGTCCCTCGATTTGCATTTGAATAATATACCTTTTTACGAGACAAGTGAACTCCGTTCTAAGGACCAAAAAAAACAAGTACCATCTTTAAACCAGTTAAAATTGTGTGTGTCAATAGTTGTGTTTCGAATCTAACAAGTGGAGATTGGCTGCCTGCCAAAGGAATTGGATACCCACATAGGCAGTGCCTAAATATGGTTTACTTTGTACGTATTTGCATATAAAGAAATTCATTTTTTTAACTTTTATGGGGTACCAAAACACCGACGGGAATTCGGTTTATTGTTAGAGGTTAAGTGAAAGAACTTGGGTAATATATCAGATATTTATTTGCGAGTTAACATTATAAATTATAGAAACTGTTGAACTTTAGGAAGTATTAATTTAAATAAATCATTATTTTCAATTTATATTATGCACTAAATATTTAAGTTAAAATGTAACAATTTCTGCCCTCAATTTCTAGGATATCAAAAGCTTATTTTTATTGAGAATTCATTCAATATCAATTTAATGATTTCTTGTATTTATCTACTTTATTAACTAGTTAGAAGAACACTTTTGATCATTTTTCATTAACTTAATCCTCTACTTATTCATTAAATTAAATCAAATTTTCTGAAATCCAACCACTTGCTCAACTTAAGACAAAGTTCATAAGGCTTTCTATGTTTATCAAATATTATTCCCCACACATTGTTAATGAGCTTGATTCATCACACACTCTTCAAGAGCAGCTCGTAAAAGCAAACTTTCAAGTGGCCACTAGAACACCAACATAATTCGGATGCTTAAAACTTAAACCACTCGTGCATATAGTATAACACCCGGGAACTAACTTTCGAATCGAGGGCTGACCGTCACTGCCTCCGGGTCAGCGTGTGAAATGGGACCCGCCTCCTTCTTAATAAGATTAAACCGCACTTTGGGAGGGAAACTGCACACAAGATGGGAGAGTTCCAGTTCCAGTTCCAAATCCAGATGGGACTTGGCGACGGCGGCCTACTGAGGCGTCAAATCAAGTTAATTAAAAACGGCAAGGAAGTCGGGTAATCGCACCGGATGTCGCACATTAGCCACACTCGAGGGCACATGGGGAAGATGGAAGATGGAGCTGGAGTTCTTACACCTCCAGTCAAGTGTAAGCGATTTAATGATGTGCAAATAAAGCCAAGACCCGCGCCAAAAAATTCGCATACTCCCGAGAGTCTGTGTTATGATTGATGCCAATATGCTGACGAAAGGATTGAGGCTTTTGTTTGGGTTTAGTGGAGCGTGAGCCAGGGCCAAGCACGGGTTAAATGCAAATGCGGATATGCTAAATTCAATCGGAAAGAATTAATAAAACGCACTGCGGTTTGCGTTTAATTGCAACCCGCTGGCTGGCCATGAATTATCCTGCGGAAATGTCCTGCCGCTGGGAGCACGCCCTCCGCCGGCGTTTGTTTGTATTCCCGAATTGCCAACGCATTAATCGCACTTGACTGGTCAGGCTATAAGTTATAGGTACAGCTGCGGTCACAACAATAGGGGCATTTAATATATATTTCTTAAGAGAAATAATACAACTTAAGATAGCTTTAGTTATTTAGTTCATACTTATAAACAGAATAGCTAAAGTTTTAAGTAAGACATCCAGTTATTATAATTTTTGGTGGGAAAGTGAAGTATTTTAAAAGGACTTTCTGGGGTGACATTTCTATTTCCTTACCCACCGCTGTTTGCATTTATAGCTTTAAGCATAAACAATGGAGGCGTATGCTTCCGATTAATTGATAACCCGTTGCTTAGTTTGCATACTCAATTTGGTCCCACCTTTTGTTCTTATTTATTGCAGAGTCCGCGTGGCATGCAACCGTGTAGTCCAGCGGGAGAAGTCGCCATGATGCCGCCGTCGAAGAGTCCCGTGATGGAGAGCGCCGCCTCCGACCAGAATCCTGGCCAGCAGAGTCAGCAGGACGAGCAGAGCGCCAAGCGGGCGTGCCCTTTAAAGTTCTCGATTGCGAAGATCATGGAGCCGGATCACAGGCCCAGTGTCCAAGTGGCGCCACCGCAGCCTGCCCCAGTTTCCTTCATCAGTAACGATGACGACGAGGATGAGGATCCGGAAATCGATGCGGATTCGGAGCGCTCCTGCAGTCCCATCGAGGTGATCAGTTTGGACCAGTCGCCAGTGAACTATGACTCCGCTTTTAAGAAGTATGTCCCGGGTGTCTGTTCGGGCGCCACTTCATCAGTCTCGTCGCCATCGAGCACCGCTGCTGTGCAACAGTTTGTGAGCTCCCGCCACCAGGAGCTGCTATCCCAGTACCCCCTGCTGTACTACGCCCCCAATCAGCTAATGTGCGCCGCTGCTGCCGCCCAGTACGCCGCCCTGACCGCCCAACAACAATCGCTGGCCAGTGCCGCCCACCTGAGCAGCTTTACCGCCTCGCTGAATGCCAGTCTGCATCACTCGCAGTCGCTGCGCAGGAATTTGGGTCACCCTTTGGCCGCGGCAGCTGCTGTGGCGGCTGTGGCCCAATCCCAGGTGGTGCCCAATCTGCAGCAGAGTCTGGAAAAGTCACCGGTGGCCCAGAGGACACCGCAGGGATCGGGATTGCCGGCCAATCTCAAGAGGAAACGATCGCCGCAGGATCAGGGGGAGGTGACCCCACCGCCAGCAGCTGCGGCAGGAGCAACTTCCAATGGAGGAGGAGCAGGAGCTGGGGCACGATCAAGGTCTCCTTCGCCTCAGGGATCCCTGGAGGACAGCAGTCCGGGATCTGCCAGCGGAGGCAAGCCCAAGACCTTCTCCTGCCTGGAATGTGGCAAGGTGTTCAATGCCCACTACAATCTCACCCGCCACATGCCCGTGCACACCGGAGCTCGTCCCTTCGTGTGCAAAGTGTGCGGCAAGGGATTCCGGCAGGCGTCGACACTGTGCCGGCACAAGATCATCCATACGTCGGAGAAGCCGCACAAGTGCCAGACCTGCGGCAAGGCCTTCAACCGATCCTCCACCCTCAACACCCATTCGCGCATCCATGCCGGCTACAAGCCCTTCGTTTGCGAGTACTGCGGCAAGGGGTTCCACCAGAAGGGCAACTACAAGAACCACAAGCTGACGCACAGCGGCGAGAAGGCCTACAAGTGCAGCATCTGCAACAAGGCCTTCCATCAGGTGTACAATCTCACCTTCCACATGCACACGCACAACGACAAGAAGCCCTATACCTGTAGGGTGTGTGCCAAGGGATTCTGCCGTAACTTCGACCTGAAGAAGCACATGCGGAAGCTGCACGAGATTGGCGGTGATCTGGATGACCTGGACATGCCACCGACCTACGACCGGAGGAGGGAGTACACGCGCCGGGAGCCCCTCTCCGCGGGCTATGGTCAGGCCTCGGGGCAACTTACGCCGGACTCGAGTTCGGGGAGCATGTCGCCACCGATAAATGTGACCACGCCGCCCCTTTCCAGTGGGGAGACGAGCAATCCCGCCTGGCCCAGATCCTCCTCCGTTTCCCAGTATCCCGCCGGCAGCTTCCACCACCAGCTGGGAGTGGCTCCTGGCCACGATTACCCCAGTGGCTCCGCCTTCCTGCAACTCCAGCCGCATCAGCAACAGCATCCGAATCCGCAGCAACCACATCAGCAGAGCCACCAGCAGAGACTCTCGGAGACCTTCATTGCCAAGGTGTTTTGACAGCGATACTATGCCGACAGCTTGAACAGCTCCACGGGGGCGTCGACATCGACGACCAGCTCCACGGTGACCACCACCACCACCAGCACCACCACGGCCATCTCATCCATGGCCAGTTCGAGGAGCGATCTCCTGATCGACTGACTGCAGTTTGTGGCGGCGGCGGCCGCTGCTAGCAACTCGAATTCCGGGCAGGATCCCGGCGGCGAGTCTCCGTCCCCGGAACTCGGGTGTACGGCATTGGGCAGTGCTGTCCGGGCACTCAATGGACTCTTCTAGGCCCAGGAAGACCTACCCACCTCTTCGCCCCGCCCACAGAACCTGAACAGCCACCAAATGGTTTCAACTTGTGCAATATCCCACTCGGAGGATGATGATGATGATGAAGACCCAACCGCTCAACACATTTCCCTTCAAGAAATCCAGAATTTTGTATATAGTATATCCCTAGGAAGTCCCGATGTGTTACCCCTTAGTCATAGAAACACTCAACTTAAGCATTTTTCTCAATGTTTAGATGTAGCTAAAGGATTTACCTAGTTAGTCACGAATGTGTATCGCTCTGAGTCCTGTGTAGATCGACTACATGGTTTCTCCAGAGCGCTTTTCGATTTAGGAAGTTATGTTTCTGGCATTGTATTAGAGCTTTTTTGGGGTCTGTCAACCGACATACATAAATGGAAATGTATCTTAGAGTTGTACTAGATATCTGTACTGTACGTATATCCCTAAGTGTCTGTGTAATCCAACGCGAATGAAAAAAGAAATTGAGAAACATTTTAACGCCGATCGATGAATGCATTGAATTTGTTTAGGACTTAAGTGATATTATTGATAATGTTTAAGCAATAAATCAATTCTTCAATTATTAAATAGAAGCGATGTTTTAATTGGAAAAAGAAGGAAGTAAGTAAGAACGCAGAACTAAGGAGCTTCTGTGTTTCATTATAAAAGTCAAGGATTAAGTTTAGCAAAAACATTTTTTCAAATACCGAAGTAAACTCGTGCTAGACATCCTTTAAAATCCCGATAGCCTCCCCACATATATGCAAATAACTGAGCAACGGTATGGGCTGTCATTGAGATTGTCTCCTGCGATCCTTAAAAATGCAAATGGATGCGAAATGAAAACAATTATTGCTGCATTACTCGTGCCCAAGAGTCGCGTTTAATGGGCTCTAAACTGTCGCCACGTCTGCCGCATGACATTTGCAACTTAATTAGTGGCGACCAGCCCCCACTTTCCCATTTCCACCGCCCACTCGGGAAAACTCCGCAGGTGGCAGGACCAGGCACACGCCTCAATCATTTGCATAGCGCTTTGATCTGCGGCTCGAGAAAAGACCGGGAATCCGTGGGTTTTCACCTGGTCCACAAGCGAAGGAGACTCCTTATAAAAATGCAAAAGAAGCATTCGGACCAATTAATCAAGAGTAAAATAAAAAAGGTTGCTAATATTTTAAATATTTTAAATATATTAAATAAAAGCTATTATCAGCAATAGTTCCAGAAAATGTTAAAATAAACAACCAACAAATTTTTGTGTTAAGTTCAATCAAAGGCAATGCAAATCAGATCGACTTGGATCATGCTTTTGAACAAATATTTTTATGGAGTAAAAGTATATTCCAAAAACTATCAGATATTCAGTGATAAATCTTTAAGCGCGGGAATATCTACTGATCTGCTTTATTTGGCATTTGACTTAACTTTTTTAACATCTTCATCTTGAATATTTAGAATACCTGAACCAGTTGTTAGCTGTATTTTAATTGAAAAATTTTAAAGTGCATTTTTATGTCACTAAATTTAGGCTCCAATTATAATTTTATTTGACAGCTTTTAAACATGTATAAACTTAATATAAGTCAAACAATTCGATTGTCTGACTAAGTACAAGTATTTATATAAATTTATATTCATTGGCTCGTGTGCTCTAGTAATCCTGCTGACTTTGATTTGGTGACATCGGGATCGGGCTTTTGTGATGTTTTAATACCCCCGTCAGAGATGACGCATGTGATGTCCACTTGAGTTGACATTTTTCCCCTTTTCCTTTGGCCATATGAATAATTCAAAACGAATCGAATATCCAAATGGGAACGAAAAGCGAAATCGAGTGATGCGATGCGTTGTTTTTTTATGCAAATAATCAAAGACGACTGACGTACAGTGGGCCCTCAGCATATGCTCTCAAGCACACCGCCCACTGACGGAAAGGCAGTGCCATTCAGTTGACAATCCAGTAGAGAAGCTGCTGCCGCTGCTGCTTGTGCCCAATTTTTGATGATGACTTTTGACACCGCCTCGCGGCGTTCTTTTGAACCCGATTCCTCGATTCCTCGATTCCTATCATTGTCGAAGACCGAAGGCCAACCCCCAATTGTGAAATGAATGTGAATGGTCCTTGAGCTGTTGTCATGTTGGCCGCTCCCCCAGTCGATTCCTTTTGATGTTTGCCTTATGCACGCCCAGTCGGCCATTCGAGTATCCATCTACCTATCCATCTAAGCGAAGTATACACCACCCCCCGCCCCTGCCATTTCCCCCCTCCCTTTCAATCGCACTGACACAAACCGACTTATTTGGCTAATTGAACGCGGTTGGTCGGTGGCACCACTTCATGCAGATCTAGCCCGGATAATTCCGCACTTTTACCACTTCTCGGCCCGCTTATGCATGACGCCTCGGCACTCCGAACAATCCGATTTGGTCACCCAGCCGGATGACATTAATTAAGCTAATTAATAGCCATTGATTCGTGGGAAAAGGATACTTTTTCGATTTTCTACCAAAGGAAAAGGTTAGGTGAGAAATGTTTGATTAAAAACTATATTTTATGAGGGCCGAAAATACATGTTTCCACCTAAACCTTTCTCTTAATTATGTACCAATACTCTCGAATTTTGGTTTAAATATCTATGTAATAAACTTTTATTTATTATACCGATCAAAATAACAAAAAATCCTTTAAAAAGCCAATGTTTCTCACACGAAATACTTATGCCTAGAGATGAGATTTTTTAAGTGAAACAATACTTCTAAAAAAAAACTTACTTATAAATAAAATTGTGAGATTTTATTTTCCCGCCCAAAGGAAATTTATCCTTGCCACCCTTTCTTAATATTTAAAAACTGTTTGAGTTGCACAGTCAAATTCTTTTATACAAATTAAGAACATGTGATTTATAATAAATAAAGAGTTTTTAAGATATCCTAAAAATAAATATTAATAGTTATCCATAAGATTTGAAAAGAAAAAAGAAATAGTTTCCCTTCCTTAAATAATAACAAATATAAGCTGTTCCCCACCATCCCTAAAAATAAAATAATAACTTCCGCCATATTTGCGGCGCCCATTCGATACGTCCAAAGATTGTTTACCCGCCATAAACAATTTCCGCAGGCGCCATAATTTCTTGTATAGTCTCCTGAAATAAGCATAATATTTCCGTGCTTTGTTTTAAGCATATCAATAACTGTTATCAACGGATGGGGGCTCCGTGGCACGCCCCTCCGATTGTGCCACAAAACAACTCGAGCACGCAACAGGGGGAAAAACATGGAAAATATCCGAGCACTCGAGCCGTTCCCTTCGGTACAATAAAAAATTATAATCCAATTCCATTGTCCGAGAATCGAGGGGTGGGAGGTGGGAAAATGTTGCAGACAACGACTGCGCTTATCACCCGAAAAGAGGCAGAACAATGAGGACACGAGATGGATGGATGGATGCATCCCGGAGGAGCCGGGGGATGTAAGTCGAGCGTGAATTGCAGCGTAATCTCTTCCGGATATGATTACGCCGCCAAGTGCGAGGGGATGAGGGATTGTCTGCCCCATGGTGGTGCTGTGACCTATCAGCTTTGTATCCCGGGCATCTTTGTGTCCCCGTATCCTTGCATCACTCGGCTCAGCTGAGTTCAGCCCAGCGCAATCTGCTGTGATTACAATTTCTTAAAAAGCTAAAGCTGCATTTTCCTTTCAATTACGAGGCACCCTCGGCACCTCTTAATGGCCATATAAGTGTATCTTTTCCAACCGCCCCAGCCAACAATATGCTGGCTAAAAAAAGGAGAACAAAACAACACTTAACCCACGTTAATTGTCGACTCCGTGAACTATGCCATGATCTCCTGCCACTCCTCCACATCGAAAGTGTCCCATGTCAATGGCTGGCTGCCATTAGAAAAAAAGAGGAAACCACGGGGCGTCCGAGATGCGAGCATTATAGAATTCTATATGAGTACTTATAGTTTCCACTTCGAGGGGGCGGATGTGCTCCATGCACTGGCAGAAATGCAGCTATACCTTGATTAAGATCACATAACGGATTTCGATGATATTTTGTGTAAACTGGTCATTAATGCTTGGCTAAGTGGTAAATAAAATCATATTCAAACAATACAGTTCATTATTTCTTGGGTGCAAGAATAAATAAGTCAGGCTTGAAAAATGAATCATAAGACTAAATCTTTTTTTTTCTTTTTTTTGCCGATTTTCGCAGTATTTATAAGGGGAACATGATTTTTTTTGCGAAAATCAGTCTTAAGTTATATTTTTAGTTGGGAAGGCCAATCGAATACACGAACGTATGACATTCCAACATTTGACTACTGTTCCCCAGTGTTTTAATCAAGAAACCAAAACTTGAGTTGATTTATTCCGGATTTTGGCCATAAAAAAGCCGCTTTTTGTTCTAACTTGCCCAAAATACGACGCTCAACCAAAAGAATGACTGTTTTGTGCAGCTAAGGATCTAAATAATCGATTCCTGAATAATTTAGAAAAAAAAAATTTTGACCGTTTTTCGTATTTTTCATAAGGGGTAACACTTGATTTTTTGCCAAAACTGGACCAAAATTAAATATTTTAGCTGAAAATACCATTGGACTGGAAATTTTGTAACGAATTCAACGAGGTATGACATTCCAAGATCTGACCATTATTTCCAATGGTTTTGATCAAAAAACCGAAATAAAAGTTGGTTTTTTCGGATCTCCGGATTTTGGCAATTTTTATAAGGGGTTACATCATGAATATTTGACAAAAATCGGATGAAAATAAATTTTTTAGATGTAAATGCCATTCGATTGGAAATTTTATAACGAATTCAACGAGGTATGGCATTCCAACGTGCGACCATTATTTCCCATGCTTTTGATCAAAAAACCGAAAAAAAAGTTAATTTTTCCGGATCTTTCGGATTTTGCCATTTTTCATAAGGGGTTACATCATAAATTTTTGCAAAAAATCGACTGATTTGAAATTTTTTAGCTGTGAATGCCACTCTATTTGAAATTTTATAACGAATTCAACGAGGTATGGCATTCTAGCATCTGACCACTTTTTCCTAGGGTTTTGATCAAAAAACCAAAATAAAAGTTGATTTTTGGGACCTTTCGGATTTTGGTATTTTTCAACATTTGATTATTATTTCCCAAGGTTTTGATAAGAAATTGTACCGCAGAAAAGGAGATATTTCCGACCCTATATTTATTATTATATTTATTTACTTAACTATTTATTATTAGCTGATATACGCTATGTTTGTTGCTTGATATGATGGTTTTATATCGTTTGGGATGGATCCCTTAAGAAAAGTGCACATCGTTCATTAATTTTTGGGATGACAGCTAGCGTTCGGCTTGCCGAAGTTAGCTCCCATTTTCGTTTTATAATATTTTTCATGGGTCGAATACTTAATCTGAGCTTTGCGAGACAATCGCAGTTAAGTTTTGACCCCTCGATCCTTTTTGGAGGAAGAGCAGCTGACTGGGATCAGTTTCTGGCTGGGTGGGTGTACTGCTGGGTGGATTTGCTTTTCCGAGCAGCAGTTGCTCGACTTCCCAGCAAGAGGCGAGAGGCCGGAAAACGATGACAATATGTGATGGGATCGGCGCGCTGCTTGGCAATACATTCAAATGCATTCGAGTCGACGTAACGCGGCTCAATTAGTGCGGTTCAGCGGCTGCCAATGCAGCCTCTCCCGTCCTCAGAATTCTCGTCCTGCGCCGATTCCTTGCGATTTCACTGCTCCTGCCATTGTCCGTCTGCGTTTGCCTGGCTTTATGTCAACTCTCGCACGCTTATTCACACCTGAGCACAAAACCGCCCCGCAGGTTTTTGCTGCCTGAGGAGTCACGAATGCGACGCCAACTTCCGACATTTTCCATGCCGCATTTTCACATTGGCGGGCAGCGAGGCGTCGCTCATTACGTGAAAAGCTGCTGGCGGCTAGGACATTCCATTAATTAGTATCCGTTAGTTTGGCCTGCTTCGGCGTCTTTTGGCTAGAAAAAAGTTATTCAAAATCTAAGGATTCTGAGGAAGTAACACTAAGAAAATTGCTCTATAAAAGTAGCTTAATCTAATTTCAGACGTTCAAATTATTTAAATTATAATAAATAATAAATTATTTCTTTTTCAATTTTAATACATGTTCTTTTAATAATTTCCTTCTAACAATTTGGAAATTGTATTACTTTTCCGGATTGCGAAGGGAAGCAGGCTCTGTTGTTATTATATTTATTTTACAATAACTACTGTGATTTTTATTTTTAAGCGTCGCAAACCTTGTCTACAAAGAATCTATATAAGAATCATTCAAATTGGAAACACACAACAAACAGCAGAATTGCAAAACCAAAATATTGTAAAATCACAGAATTTTTTTTCTGACCAATGTTATAAATTATAAAATTAAATATAAATAACATGGTTTTAAGAATCAATTTTTAACTGTGATCGTGATCACTTAGAGTACTGGCTTTTGTTGTCAAATAATTAAATACATACCCATATATTTACACGATCCAGGGCATTGATTGTCATTGTATAAAAAACATGTCGTTTTTATCGGGGAACAGGAGGTCGAGCAGAGATGAGGAAATGCTGTTTGACGATCCTTATACCCGCCGGATTTTCATCAGTAAGGTTCTTATGATAGTGGCCGTAAGTGCAGAGTGAATACATAGCCTTATACATTTTCCAATAATCCGAGTTGCAGATTAATTTGCTTTTCACAGTATTGGTGATGACATTTTGTATTTTCCATTCGGGTGCGAGGCACTTCCTTATAAGACACTGGTATATAGGGCTTATCGGCACTGCCGTCATATTCATCATTTCCATTATAATGTGCTTCTGTATCGGCCTCTTTCGGAAGTCCCCCTATAAATACATATTGTTGGTAATATATGTGATAGCCCATGCAGCATTGGTGGCCTGTTGTGCGGTTCGATATTATCCGAAATTGGTAAGTCACCCGATAATTGTCTAGTATAAGTTATAATAGATTCTCTTCCGATCAGGTTTTTATAGCCGTGGCTGTTTGTGCGGGTATCGTGATATTGCTAGGGCTGTTCGCCAGATTTGCTCCTTGCGACTTCACCGGATGCTGTATTTTTCTTTTTGTGCTCAGTATAGTGGTATTGATAATGGGTATATTGTCCTTATTTTTTCCTATCCTTCGGATAGTTTATGTCGCTCTCGGCGTACTTCTGTTTTCCGTTTACATAGTGGTTGACCTTCAAATGTTGATTGGCGGAAAGACACACAAGAATCAGTTCGACGAGTCGGATTTCATTTTAGCTGCCATGTTCCTTTACAGCGACATTATATTCCTGTTCATATTCCTGCTGGAGTTGATTGGTTTAATAGATTCATAAAATAAAAACAAAGAACTAGATGAACCATTAAAGAAGCATTTTTGATACTCAGTCTCCGAGAGATTGTCGTCACACTGTGTCCACAAACATATTTTTTGACAAGCAAATTTATACAATTGGAGCAACTTTATAGAAGGAGAAATGTGTTGTTTTTTTAATATAGCATGTCTGACTCGCCCTCGCCCGGAAAATCCCTTTGCTAATCCTCGGGTTAAGCGTAGGTTTATCTGGAGGGTATTGCTCTATTTGGACGTAAGTGTCGATTGCTTGGACACAAGTTGCAGTCATTTATACCCGGACCTCGTTTCAGGTATCCCTGATAACGAGTCTCATTCCCATGATTCTGTTTTGGAGCTATCCACCAGCGCACTTGTATCTCTTTGGATTATCGATTTTCTTGGCCATTCCCGCCCTGATTGCTTTCATAGTAGTTCAATGCATGTTGTGCTTTGCGATTAAAATTTTTCGGCACAAGGCCATCAAGATTACCTTCTTCATAGTATGGATTGTTGTTCATTCCACCTTGCTTTCCGTGTCGGCCATGTGGTATCATCCGTTGACGGTAAGGCCTTGATATGCTTTTAAATATTTAAAATTTTAAAATTATATTTCCCCAATCAGGTGCTCGCACCTTGCGGAACTCTGGCCTTTGTCATTCTGGCCATGATTGTGTATTCAAAATTCGTTCCTTGCCAAATCGGTCATAAGATTCCTTTAGCTTACCTCTTTGCCATCGGATTAATTTCCATTATTCACGCCATCTTTTATTTATGTTTTAGGGAATATGCAGTTTACGTTCTGATTAACTTTTTACTGGTGCTCTTAATGAGTCTTATAATCCTGGTGGATATTGAACTAATAATTCGGGATAAAACAAGGCACAAGTTTGGAAAGCGTGAATACATTGTGGCTTCCATGATCGTTTACCGAGACGTTATATGGATAGCTATCATAATTATAATCATATTGACGGCCTCGCGTCGTTGCGATTGCACTGGTGGTGATACAGATAATAATAGTACTGCAGAAAGTGAGAGCAAAAGTAGTGTTAGTCCTGCTAGTGGCAGCACCTCCTCTTAAATTTATCTTGTAAATTAAAATTTTTATAATCTGGTTTGGATGAGATCGTTGTTATTTTAAAGTCCATATTTTATAATCACCTTCCTTTAATCCTTTAATATCAAAATGTATTTATACTTATCCATAATTTAGTCTTTTGTTCAGAAAAATGGGTTAAATTGTTCATTACTGACAAGATCTTCGATCTCATAAAAAGGGCGTTCACTGTCAGTGGGAACATGTGCTCCAAACAAAATAACTCCAGAAAATAGTAAAAAAAAATCAGTATTTTAAAAATCAACCATTTTTCTGAAACACTAAGAAAATGTGCGATGTGCAGAGGCTGATGGATGGCCTCGTACAGACTTTTAACATATCCAAGAAGAGGCGACTCCAAGAAATGATCCAGATCTTGAATGAGGTGCGTTGCTGCGAGTGCGGCCACAAAACAAGGCTTAAGAATGTCCGGAAGATCAAGTCCGGATGTCCAACATCCTCATCCAAAGGTCGGACACGTTATCTCATCGCCGCCTGTTTCGGATTGCTGTTTCTGATCTCCATCTACACGGTCCACGTGGCTCGGAGATATAATCATGTTCGGGCATATGGCAGTAGTGCCTGCGGATCGACCTTCTTCTACACCTACACCGATTGCGATGTTTTCTACTAGTGACTGCAGTATCAAATTTGACTTACCGACGCTTATATTTGTATTCACAAAAATTTTAAATCATTTCTGTTACATATTGGTACTCAACGAATCTTTCCAAAACTTGCTAAATTGAATTTGCTCAAACTCGCATTTTTTCGGAATGTTCAATTTAAATTCATACATTTTAAATTAATTTTAATATAATTTTTCTGGTTCCCAAAATGTAGTTTTTGAAGTTTTTAGAACGACCTATGCGATAAGAAAATATGTCACATATGTATGTGGTTCGCCAATTAAAGCTAAAAGTCCTTGACTTATTTAAATTTATATATCCACCTTGCCGTCTCCCAAACATTCAAATGGACAAGGAAAAGTAATAAAGTCTTTTCTCATTGTGCACTTATTTTGTATTTTTATTTTTCTACCTTTTGTAATACGTTGCCAGGTGATGATGGGACCTCGAAAATGTGGGTGGCACTGGACAAGGGCGTGTCTGGCACTTATTGGGAGCGTTGCGTGCCCAACTTTTTCACCCGCTTTATGATTGGACGCTGCCGTGAATTATGCATAAAGCATAAATGTCAGAAAGAGACCAAGCGACGAGACCGAGAAGGAGGGCGAGTGTTGGTTTTCGGGGTGAGTCCATCATCGAACGTGGCCATTCCGTTTTATTGGGTTATCGAGTGGGACAGGACCTTGCTCCACCTGGTGGTCCTCAGTCCACATAAACTTCCGGTTGTTGGCCTAGCTCAATATTGACACACGTTAATTGAAGCCCGACGGCTGCCAAAAGTATCAATGGCCACATCCCTTGGCCGTGGGTCAGCGCCGAATTGAACAACCATTGCCTGTTCGCATTGTGAAACCGGAAAGAAGGGGGAAACTGTGTGTCCAAGTGGGTGGTTCAGTAGAGTGGACCTTGGTAGGAAGCCAGACGAATTATAAAGTAGAAGAGGCAAGTATAGTATCCCAAATTTATCAAAAAAAGAGTTGAACAACAATTCTTTGCCCCTTAAAATAAGACGCATTTTACCAATTTAATAAATATTTAATTAATAAAATTAAATAAGATCAGAGATTTTCAATAAGGTCCACCCTTATGCCCAAAGAATGTGATTTTCGGGTGGTGGCTCTCACATTTTGAGCGATTACCTGCTGTGCGGTCATCTCTTTGATGGCTTTAATAAACCCTGATTGCCAAGGTAATTTTAAACGATCTGTAATTGACTCTTCCACCTGGTTCTTCAAACTTTACTTTTGTCCGGTAAACGTTGAATTATTTTTTATTATTCGACTTTCAATATTTCTTAAATGTTACACAATACACAATTCCTGCCAGTTAGTTATATTAGTCGAGTGAATATGAGGATATTATTTGGTTCCAGATGCTGCCCATCCTATATACATCGTGAGTTGTTTTTTTTGGGAATCCTGGTGCCATATGACGATTGCATATGGCCAGATCTCTGGGGAATTTAGTTTGTAAGGCCCCAAAATCTTGGCTGCCAAATCAACAAAAATATTTAAGCAATAAGTCCAAGGGGCCTCAGGATTTAGTTGTTAACGGAATGGGCTTCTCGATTTTGTTGTTAACAGAAAACAGGCGTGAAGAAATAGAAACGTAGTTTAATGTTTTCAAAAATTATGCATTATGTATTATTTTCGCTTTGAATTAGTTTTTTAGTTTAGTTCTGTGTTTAGATAGCATAATTAATCGTAATGTTGGTTTTTTCCTATTTGAAGTTAATTTTAATACATTTCGTTTAGTTGTAAATTATTGTAATGTAAATTTTAGGACTAATTCAAGTTCATATCTAGGTATATATGTATATTTATAGGTAGTGTTATAATTGTTGTAAATACAATCGAATAATTAACTAATACAAAATAATTACAGAACAAAGTGTTTGGGAATAGATTTGTTTTCGCTCTGATCAAAAGTCTGAAATATCTGCGATTCTTCACATAATCATTTTTCAGATAATCATTTGTGGCATTTCTAGATGCGTATAAGTTTAACGTGAGTAGGCATACATAGTATAAGGGTATAAATTGAAATTTTGGAATATTCAAATTTGACACACATTTCTCGTAGTTCTGTCTTTTACATTTTGACTGATTCACAAGCAGAATACAAACAAAATAAAGATTATAAATCATACAGAAAAAAGGCATAGACTAAGCGCACTTTGTAACAATTCGCTCGACACACCATTTGTGGACATTCCGTTTCATCGACGCCTTAAACTCAAATAACACTTAACACGTACAAAAACTGCTTATTAAACTTAACATTTACAGAATTTAATTCAAGCTAAACGCATTTTGTTGCCATATAAATTATTGTTAAAAGAAATGCACACGCGCACAAAAAACGAAACAGAAAACTTAGCGCTACGCAACTTGATCTATTTACTAAAAGAATAAATTTACATCAACTGTGAATGGTTATTAATTACAAATTAGTGGTTGGTTGCTTGATCTGTTTGCCATTCGCCTGTGTGTGTGGTTTCAGTTAAATAAATAGGTGTTGGTTAGTTCCTCCCGCAGATCAGCTGCCATCGTTTTTAGTCATTTAGTCTAGCCTAAGCTCTACACACTAGGAGTTATTCTCACAGTCATCGGGTTTGTGCTTCGTGCGTAAATTGCTTAAAAGATCGGCACAGTTGTTGACCATCATCAGATAGTCTCCGTTGTCAGCGCTCAGCTGATCGTGGTTCAATCCCCCACCACCTCCCACTCCCATTCCCCCGCCCATTCCGCCTCCATTGCTTGTCTTCTCCGCTTGTCTGAAATAAAAGGATAGTTTTTGTTAAGTAACCTGTTTTCAATATGGTCTGATTCTAGCCTGGCATGAATTATGCAGAACTATTTAAATCTTATAGTTTCTGTAGATTAATGCAGGACTGAATCTTAGCTAGAATCAATCCTACCTATTGGTGATGCTGCTGAGCATATTCCTGGACATGATCAGGGCGTTCTCCAGTTCCTTTAGCAGCAGCGAATTCTTTAGATTCGCATGTAGCTGCATGGCTGCCTGGGTTGTCGTGTAAAGTTTATTGATCACATTGTGTACTTGGGCTTCGGCTGCAAGAAAATATAAATGAGTCGCCTATTTTAAACAGCTTTTGACACAATCTTACGATCTGTGCCCTCGTAATCCTCCGTGGAGGTCACTCCACTCCTCTGCTTGCTGGCATTTCCGCCGGGGCTGCCAATATTGTTGATCATCAGCTTGTTCTTGTGATCGAAGGCCAAGTTCCTTGGCCTCGGTGGCACAATGGGCTTATTGTTGACAGTGCTATTGGGCGTCTCCTCGGAACTGGAGTCGTCCTGCATGGGTGTGGCTAAGGAGGCATTTATCATTATTATTTGGTTTAATAATAAAATTAAGTAAAGTGCACTCACCACTGCTAAAGTTTGGTGTCTTTCGACGATTGTTATTGACATTGTTGATCTTGTTGCTGTATTGGCGATTGGCAGCTGCAAGTAGAGTATGAGATAAAATCAATTTTCATAATATTAAATATTATTTCTACTAACCAATCGGTCCATTACTGCGTCCCTGTCCGTTGCTGGCACTACGCAACCGATTGCTGTCCTCGGGTTCCGAGTCGCTCTGAAAAAATATTAAAAGGGAATTAGATTATGAAAACTTTTAAAAGATTCTAGGTTTTTTTTCAAACTTACACCCTGATTGAGGACGTTCATTGAGTTGCTGGAGGCACCCAATCCAGTCTTGCCCTGCAGACTGTTTCTTTTGCTGGCCGAACGTGAGACATTGCCATTTCGGTGCTGAGCCTGTGGCTTTTGCGGTGTGCCATTCGATTTTCCAGCTGCAAAAGGGGTATGAACCAAAACAATTAAATCTCTATTAATATTTAGAAGATATTTATATAGTCGAGGGTGCTTACGCTTGCCAAAGTTGCCCATGTGCAGGTCGCTCAGCGAGCAGGCGCGGCGTATGGAGGACTCCTCGATGGGCATGGGATTGAGCGTTTTGGGATTGCCTGAAAAGTGGGTCACAGATTAGTTTCGGTTCGGGTCATGCGGTTATGGTATTACTGTGCTAGGATATCGAGATATGGAGGGTGGTTGCCAAAAAAAGGAGGTAAATAAAAACTAGTAAATAACTGGTGGGTGCGCAAATGAAGGTGGCGGAAAACTCAAGAGGCACAACAACCAAGGCGGAAATGGGGCTCAAACCTGGCTCCATCCTCAAAACAACAGTCGGTCCCATGTCATCGTGATCAGCATTATTTGAAGTGATCTCTGGACTTGCTCCCTCATCATCCGCAATCACCTCCTTGGCCAACTCCACGTCATGGCTGTTGTAGATACCAGTGAAATCGGTGCTCTCCAGGACATCCGGCAAACTGCAATTTCTGCGGATATTCCTGGCATAGGCACACAGATCCGAGGCATCTTTGGAGGTCAACTCCTCGTCCTCTGTCGGTTCCTCTCCTCTGGCCAGCATGTCAAAGTTCATGGTCAAACTTTTCACATAACCCTTTTCTTTGGCATTGCAGTTGAAGGGCCGCAGACGAGATTCGGTGGCCAAACGTATTTGCTCCATTTTGTTCTCCTCCATGGCGATTAGCTTTTCGATAATATCGATCTTTTTGGCTATATTCTGGCACTGATGGCTGGTGGAGCTGCCTGCTCCCTTTCCCTTTCCACTTCCCCCTTTCCCACTGATTTTCCCAGCGTTGTCTAGGTTTTTCCTGTACTTTTCCCGCTCTTGCTGGATCTCGTCTACCACAGCTTGCAGTTGGGGTTTGGTATAGAGTTTTAGGGTCTGCATATTTTCCAAATTCTCTGGGGCATTTCCGTTTTCAGTGAAGTACATTTCGAAACTGCGCTCTCCATAATCGCTGGGCAGGCTGCCCACTTCCATTTCCGGTGGCTCTTCCTCTCTCGCCTGCCTTTCCCTTTTGGCACTGGGCGTATACTTGATCTGCGAGACTGTATTGAAGCGCACGGAGATCTTTGGCCTACTCTTTTGCCTCACACTAGTGGCTCGACGACTGCTCTCGCTGGTATCAAAACGGGAGACTTTCTTCAAACAACTCTGGGTTGCAGATCCTCCGGCCAGAGCACCAGAACTCACGGAACTCCTCATCGCCGGCCTTCTTTGCTGATCCCTTTCCCTTTGCTTTTCCTTCTCGAACTTCTGCAAATTGTGCTCAAATTGCTGCACTACACTGGCAGTTCTGGACTGGGATTTCTGCTGCTGCTTTTGCTGCTTTTCCATGTGGCTCAAAGTGCTGACTAGGTTTTGTGGCTTCACCGGTACTGGTGGCTTGGGTTTCAGTGGCTTTCGCACAAACATATTGTTCCCTGTTTGCATGGGATTCGAGTTCCGCTGCTGTCGCTGTTGTGCAAAGTCCGTACTTAAGGACTTGTTAACACCTGAGTTATATTGCTTGTTCTTCGACCGCAGAGTGGGTATATTTTCCGAGGCCTGAACCTGAGCTATTCTGGGATATGTCTTCGAACTGGGCAGTGGTTTCAGTGGCTCCAGATTGTAGCCGGTCACATCGAAACTATCCGTTGCCGTTGAATGTTGCTGTCGCATGTAGTAATCGAAGCTGCCATAGGCATTTGGGCTATTTCCATAGGACTTAGACACTGGACCGTGGATGATAAAGTTCCGGATGCCAGCATGGCGCTGCTGGAGAACAGCCACCTGGGTTTGGGGATACTCCAGAGGAGCACTCTGGCAATCACTTTCGTCCGACAGAACGCTCTCCAGACTGTTGCAACAACTTCCCGGGCCATCGCCATCGGAAAGTAGGGATAAAGACTCCTGACTCTGCTGACCGGTGAGGAAAAAACTGGCGCTGGAATGTCGTTGGGTCTCCAGGAACCTGGCCTCGTCCAATCTCCTCTGACTGGCCGCAAATTGCTCAGGTTGCAGGATATCCGAGAGGGATACCTTCCTCTCGCATTGATAGAACTCCCTGTAAACATAATACTGTGTGGTTCTGCCCGTGGGCGTGGAATCACCAGTGGAACCCAGTCCTCCCAACCCTCTCAGATTCGCTGGCATGGAGTACGAAGCCGGAATACTGGGCTCATCCAAATCTCCATACTTCCGGGTGATCTCATCGATCATCTTTTCCGTATCTGCATGGATCATATCCAAAATGGTTCTCGCATCATCTGCATAAACCGAGTGCCTCTTTGGTTCTCCAAGTAGAGCTCCTCTCTCATTTCCCTCGGCAGACCATTCAACTTCTTCGTGGACTGGCGATACTGGACAGGATTTATAGTGTTTTAAAATACTAGGCGTGCGTCTATTGTTCCCAGCTGGATTTCTTTTAACCCTCTGTTGCTGCTGCATTTGCTGCTGCTGATGATGATTATGATGTTGCTGCTGGGAATGCGAACGCATTGCAGATGAGGATCCCCCTGCAGATCCAGCAAATGGAACGCCAGGTGGTGGATGAATCTGGTGCACACCCACATGATGGGGATAGGGAGGATAATGTTGTTGAACCTGTCGCATGGTCTGGAAATTCTGTTGCAATTTGGACTTTGGGGCAGCACAATTGAAGAAATGCTGGGAAGCAGGAGGAGTATAAAGCTGATGTTGCTCCTTTGTTATTTGATATGGCTGCTGCATTGGCTGTTGCTGGATGTTCGTAGTTGCAGCATTTGCTGTTGTGTTTTGGGAGCTAATACACTGCGAAGTGTCATGGGAAGCAACTAATGGGGTTAGTCAAAATATCGTTTAAGGGGAATATTCATCAAAAATATTACACAATTGTATTACATTATTTTTACCGCAGAGATCACAAAAAAGGAGAGCAATATTCAAAGAGAGATAGACAACGGAGAAAGAGAGCAAACAACGGGAGAGAGAGTTTTGGTTACATTAGCCTACTGTCCAACTTGGAGGGGATTTTAACTTGGTTTAATTCCGGGTTTCCTTTTTTCCAAATCACTTACCCGGCTTTGTGTAACGTCCTGGTCCTCCGCCCGCACTCCTCGAGCCATCCAAATTGGCAGCCAGACTCAGGTCCGATATGCTATGGCTTCCCCGAAGGGGTCTATGGCCTACCTGTGGGTCCAAAACAAATTGTATTCATTAGGAAAGGCTATTTCACAATTTTAATTAGTAATGTTTAAAGTTTACATAGTGAAATCAAATAATGCATGATTCTTAAATGTAGGTGGAAGGGTAAATGGTAATTTAGAACATAAAAAATGGACTTACAAATTATTCATAGTTCTTAAAGTTATAAAAGGTGTGGTAAGATATCAAAGAAAAGAAATTAATGATGAAACTTTTAAAAAATTTCAGACCTTCGATTTATTTAGAAAATATTGAAGTAAAATATATTATGATCAAAATATTTAATATTTTAGTAACTTTGTTAAAAGTATGTATGAAGTTAAAGACTTGAGTGAGTGGTTTTCCGTTTCCTCAAATTACTTGAGTGGTGTGAAATGGAGTGGATGGGTGAGGGGATCGCACATGTTTAACCCACTCGGCTTATCTGACTAAGCGAGTTTTTTGTTAATGGGCGCTAGTATGGGCTATTTTTAGAAACCGTTGAATGTGAGAAGAAGTTGGTTTGGATTATTTCATGAAGCATCGGTGGTTCAGTGGTAGAATGCTCGCCTGCCACGCGGGCGGCCCGGGTTCGATTCCCGGCCGATGCAAAACATTTTTTTTATTTTTTAGTATTAATTATTATTGGTTCTTTATTTTAATAAATAAAGCACATATTTAAGTATGGTATAATTGGAACAAAAGTAATTTGAAAGTTATTTTATTATTTGTTTTGGCTTAAATAACTTTGATTTTTTATAATTACAATTATAAAAGAATTTTGGAGCAATAAGAATTCTGGCTATATACAATTTAAAGTTAATTAATTTTTCTTCTGTTAAATAATAATTTTTTTGTTAAGGTAAATGCAGTGCGTTAAGAAATTTTCCTGTTAGTTTCAAAGCATTGTGAATATATACAAATCTGAAGCATCATTAGAAAAGGCGAAACAATCTTAATAATCCAACCTAAATCGGCTCACCTCGGCTATAGCATTCAACCTTGAGTTGCCATTTTTGCGCGTACCCTAAACACACAAAATCGGTCAGGGATATATTTTTTTTGGGTGCATGTGTTTTTGGGGTGGGAGGTTGGAGATTGGAGGACAGACCAGACACCAAAAACAAATAATGGGACACATATAAAAATACAGAAGAACAACAAAAGAAAAACACAAATTAAATGCGCAAATAAAAGAGGGAAGAAAATGGAAAACCCGCAGGGCAGTAAAATCAGCTTACTCGAAAAAAAAATACACAGAGAGATGAAATAACCGTGACCTCAACACTTACATTCTCCAGTTGCTGCTTGACCTTGTTGATGACCTGCAGCAGCTCCTCCTTTTTGGTGCTCGTATACGACTTGGTGATGGTGGGCGGGGCAGCCACGCTTTTCCCATTTTCCGTGTTGTGCTTGGCGCTGATGCTGCGGCGACCTGGCAAAAGGAAAAGTCACAATTTAATCTATAAAGGAAACCTTAATTAAAAATAATATCTTACTGCTGCCACCCCTTTCCATGGGCGTTGTTAATCCCGGTCCTTCGGGTAAAGCGGCATGCAGGAAGCTGTTGTTGCTGCTCTGGGGTAGATTTTCCGAGCTGCCGCCCAGCGTGGAGGCCAGTGAGCGCTCTGCATTCTCGGCACTGGGCGTAGAGCCCTCGTCTTCGGTATCGGAGGTCCCAGTTCCTGTTCCGGTGCTCGCCGTATGCGAACTTCCATTTCCGCTGAGCGCCGATGGGGTTAGCTGAAGGCCGGACTTCTCGAACTTCTGACGGCGCACCGACTTGCGCAGCTCATCCTCGTTCATGGCCGTCACCTTGAAATCTCTGCAAGAAATTGCCATTCGTTATTTATTATTTCCATTAATCCCTTAATAATTTTGCATATACTAACGTCGGCGTGCTGGGCGCAAGGTTGTTGTAGAACATTCCATGATCGGAGCTAGTTCTCTCTCCATCCGAGATATCCTCCACATCCCCATCGTGATCGTGGGTGTGGGTATCGAATCGCAGACCCGGCTTTAGTCGCTTATCCGGCAGCTGGAGACGCTGCTGAGCAGCTCCAGAACCCGTTGACATGGCACCATTGGAGGCAGAAACAGCCATCGCGGAAACGGAGGACACAGTGACCACCGTTCCGTTATTGCTGCTGCCGATAAACTTGAGTTCACCCCTTCGCGTCTCCATTCCGGAATCGATGGAGGAGTCCTCGCTCAAGTAGGTTTGATTGTACGTAATGTCCTTGGAAGAGGCACTATTGTAATCAGAGGTCTGGACATTTACACCGCTGTGACCACCTACAGAGGACACTGTTCCCAGGGGACTTTCTGAGTTGGAACGCAGGTCCTCGGCGGTTTCCAGTTGAGTGCTCCTCTGGGCCCATCTTCCCCTGGCTCTGGGTGCCAATCCGGGCATTTGTTGACTCGGTGATGAGCTCAGATTTCCCATCGATGAAGCGGCGTGCATGGCAGGTACATTCGTGGATCCACCACTGGGTGTGGGTATGGACAGAGCTCCACTATCCGAATCCGCTGCTGCTTTACGCATCGCCCACTGCGGCAGTTGACCCACATCGGAGAACCTCTCGGCCACTCCAAACTTGGGCTGCAATTGCGGCTGCTCTATTTCACTGGTAGGAGAATCGAGGACTATCCCATCCGGTGGTGAAATGGGCGCCAGGGGGCGTGGCAACGGAGCATGACCCGATCTGAGACGCTGTTGTGACATCCTCGCCTGCATGGTCACAATCATATCGTGTGGCACTTGCCAGATGAAAATGCAACCATCACCACTTGCCGAAATTAAATGTCTGCAATCGTTGGTGAACTTCAGACCCGTGACCAGTTCACTGTGACCATACATCCTCGCCATGCACTCGCTGGAGTAGTAATCATATACGGCCAGGGTTTTATCCGTGCACGAAGTGGCCACATAGATGCCACTGGGATCGAGGCTCAGCTTGATCAGGCTTCCCTCGTCTGAATGGGAGCCCTTGAAGGTCTTTGTTTGTTTGGCATTCTGAGTTCCGTAGACTCGCACATTGCGGTCCTGACAGGCGGTCAAGATGTGCTTGGAATTCGAGTCCACCTCCATGTCGTACAGCGTCGTCTTTCCGGAGGTGTTGGTACCCCTCATAAAGATGTTTCCCTATTTAAAAAAAAAGAAAATTCAATTAATTTTCTTGGCCCTTTACATAATATCGCAAGACGCACCTGAAAACTCCTAAACATAATGGACTTGTCGGCCCCGCAGCTAATCATCTGGAAGTTGAGTCCGGCACCCACAAACTTAATGGAGGTGATCGAGGAGCTGTGATCGTCCAGCGTCTGTAGCAACAAGTAATTCTGGGCCACATCAAAAACGTGGATCAGACGATCCCTACTGGCACTGGCTAGCAACTTTCGCTCGATCCGTTCATTAGAATACTCCAGGCACAGCACCTCCGACTCATGGGCTTCGATGGTGGTGAGCAGGCGTAGATTGACAAGACTATAGACACGTATGTTGCCGCACCGATCTCCACTGGCCAGGTGCTGCAGTTCCGGACTGATCTTGATGCAACGCACCCCATTCCTTCCATCATAAGAGGAATTTCCGGCTTTATCAAACAGCGAAGATCCCTGATCCTTGATGAACTGCAGCTCCTCGTCGCTGTACACGATCTTCAGCAGCTCCTTGGAGTAGATGTTCCTTCGGTAAATATCGTTATTGGTGCATCCATCCAATCCCCAAACGCGGATCGTGTCGTCCGAGGAGCAGGTGACGAAGCACTCCTCCGGAAGTGTTTGCGATGGCTCCCGCTCAACATTATATGGCACTGTCTCCACGCCCCAGATGCACGTGGAATGGTACAGGAACGAGTGCGACTTGCCCACGCGTGAGATGTCGCGCAGATCCCAGATGTACAAGGAGTGATCGTTGTAAACGCAGCTCACCTGGAAAAAAACAAATTCAGGTTATAAATATTTTATTTTTTTAATGATTATTTATTATATCATACCTTGCAACGCTGTTCGTCGAACACCATGGCAATGCAGTCGGGAAACTTGGCCTGCTGCGGCACCGACATGATGTGGTTGATCTGGATGCCTTGGGCCACATCCACGCCCAAGTAGTGAGTCCTGGGCAGAGTGGTCACGTACTCGAGCGTGGCTGCGTTGAAGATACGAATGATGGACTCGGCACAGCCCACAAGGATGAATCTCTCATTCACGCAGATACAGTTGGCGTTGGTGGTGCGGCACTGCACCCACTTGTCCAAAAGGCGGCGTGAGCTGAACTCTACCAAATGTCCTTGCCGCGTGATGGCGTACGTGCTCTCCGAAGCGATTCCCTTGCCGCATGCCACTGCACAGAAGTCGTTGTCCCGCAAATCGCCCAGAATGGCGCTGCGTCCCATCAGGGGAATGGGATCCTTGTACTGCAAAGGACATAAATCATTAGCTCTTGACCTTCAGCATTAAGTGATTCATTAAATATTCAGAACAGCAAAGCGCATTTCAGAAAATCCTTCTAAAAGTATTACAATTTATCTACAATTTAAACATTATTCTTTATTTTCGTCATTTTATGATTATACTTTATTTTGTTTTGACCTTCAGTTTAAAGTGATTATTAAAGTATTCGGAACAGAATAAAAATCCATCTTAATGTTTTTTAAAATTAAAATTGATTTTTCAGAACATGTTAGCCCTTTTCCTATAAATTTGGTAGTGAAAACAATTTCACTTTCTAAATGGAATGCTACATAAAATATTTAAAATATGCGTCTTATGATTTTGTTTAGAACAATTTTGTCATTTGTTGGTCTAATTTTGTAGTGTTGTAAAAAATGTATTTTTTTAAGAAAAGGTCATGATTTAGCTATTAGTTCTGATGTATAAGTCTGCATTTTTGAATAAAGACTTTCATGATTATTAGGGACTAAGGACTTACCTTTCTTCCTCCCTCCAGATACCAGTATTTAACATGGCGGTTGCCCACGGTGACGAAATAGCTGCCATCCTCGGCAAAACACACGGCGGCCACCTTGGAGCTGATTTTATTCGAGGCCATCTTGAGGTTGGCCCGCCAGTCGAACACGTTGACAATCATGTCGTGCTGGGAGCCCACCGAAACCAGGTACTTGCCCGTCGGCGAAAAGGCCTGCGGATTACATAAGGTATTTTTAATAAAGTAAAAATTAAACAGAATTAACATCCGGACTCACCACACAGGTGACGGCATATTTGTGGTCCACAAACTCCGCCACAACACTGCCGCCGGTGCAGTGCTCCAGACTTCCGTTGGGCGTTTCCAGTTCCCAGACTTTGATCGCCGGATTGATGCCACATTCGCCGGTGGCCACATATCGACCACATCGCGAAAATGCCACGGAGGTGAATGCTTTGCGGGAGGTGTTGACCAAGTAGGCCTGCGTCTGGCGCTTCGCGTTGAACAGCACCACGGTGCAGCTGCAAAAAGGAAATGCCCAAGTTAATAAGCAAGTTGAGGAATTTATTTAATATTTCACATAAAAAAAACGAGATATTTTCCTTGATTTAATGAGCTGAATTTAATAGCATATACTACAGTTACTTATCCACTTTGAAAATATTTATAAATACTTTAATTTAACACCCAAATCTTAAAGATTGCTTACTTAAAAAAGAAGTCAAAAACAATGTATGATTAATTAGTGCCATTGTTGTTGCCAGCTGCTTAAAGTTCCAAGTCATTTGTTTATTCACTAAGAGTATTTTATTTCTGTGCTGATTAAATGCCGAATGAATTAGACTTTCGACATGCAAAAGACTTTAATCGTCTGTATATTTCATCATGACTGGGTAATAAAAAGACACGAAACTTTTTAATTGCCTTTTTGGAACGCTAAATAGAGAAAATCAGTGGGTTATTAATAAAACAATTTGATTAAACAATGCAATTATTAATGTTTAAGGAATTTAAAGAGAACCCGCTGGTGCCCCCAGTTTAATTATTTCATTTGAAATGTACTTCATTGTAATCCTATTTAAGACATGTCCTGAAAATAGTAATGTCAAGCCATTTTATTATTCTGTCAGCTTGGACTATCACGTTAACAGTTTGAAATCCTCCCACTCAACGCCGTTTATCTACTGCCCCCGACCACTTAAAGCCGTCCTTGACCAAGGCAGACGGTAAAAGTTGGCTACACATTTAAAATGCCCAAGGATGTAGGTTCTGCTCAGCTTGGATCTCTTTTATTTTTTCCACCACGCCACCTTCAACCTTTTCCTGCCTCTGTTTAACCCTCTTATGGCAGAAGCCTGCCTCATTATTAAGCTGCTTTTTGGCCTCCCCGTTTTATTTCTGTTGTTGCCACTGTTGCACGGTTAATGAGCGCATCACGCCCACATCTTTCACTTAGGGTTATACACTTGGAAATGGATATGGTGTACTGTGATATATGGTTTGTTGTGCAACTAAATTCGATCAGGAAGTATTTAACGCCTTAACGCCTACCCTCTTCCTCTTTTTATTCTTTTCAGTACAAAAATAATTAAATATTTATTTTTCTTTTAAATTTATATATTTGTTCTAAGATTTTAAAGTGCATTTAACGCTCGCATTTGCTCTGCACAAATTTCCCTCAGCATTTTCTATTTATTCATGCTTGCAAATGGTACTATGCATACATGTGTGAGCCAAGAAAAAAACTTTTGCATCGCAATGGAAGCGTAAATATGCCCTTTTTGTTAATGCACATAATTAGTAGAGTTTCTCGGCTTAATTAACTATAATTGAAATGTTGTCAGGATAAAGAAACGGACTTTAAATGGGAAAAAAGATTTAAGATTTAGGAGGATAAAATAAATGGAATAAATTGACTTTCTGTTTAAAGTTAATTGCCATGGATTTTCTTTAAGCCCAAATATCAGTTGTCATGGCTGATTATTTCCTGCCGCATTCCATTATCTGTAAGTTTTCGTTTAATCAATTTGTCATTGATAATTACAATTATTAGCATATTACGTATACGCAGCGTAATAACCTATTGTGAGCTAGGCAAATATTCAGTGGGAATGCAAATCCTCTGCGGAAAAACAGCAATCGCGTTGACATTATGTCACTTCTGCCTCTCCTATTTTCCCTCTCTGCCTGTCACAGATTTTCCTCGTTTGAGATGGAAAAATTCAGCCATGTGCGACAGTTGGAAGAGAGATTAAATCAACGATTTTCATTGCAGTTTTTTTTTTCGTAGGCAAACTTTAAGCATCAAATTTAACAAAATTGAATTTTTTTCCGAGCCAGAAAGGAAATGAGCTGGCTGTTCTGATGGTTTCCTTCTTCCACGCTGCTGGATATGCAATATTCTTGAGATATATGGAACTTACCCAGCTGGATAGGCCAGCAGGCCGCTGACTGGGGACACATCCAAAGCCGCATTGCTGCACACAGTCAGGCCCAAGACCTTTTTGAGTTTTATCTGCAAAAAATATGGAAAAAGAACATCATAACATTAGATATTACATCACATCACACTCTGGGTTCCAGTTTATTTGCCAAGTTTTTATACTTTTTCGCTTTCGGCAAGGTCAGTTTGCGGATTGTTTGCTTAAAATAAAACCAAACGAAGATAACTTGCTGTGTGAATTGTTAACGCACACAATTTGCACATTTATCATGTTGTTGCCGTGTGTTTACATATGAACCCAGCCTTATACGATTTACATAAACATAAGCAACAGAAATTGCCTCAGCATGTTAACATGATTTTCCAATGGCTTTTGTACTATTTTCATCAATAGTTTATTAACAACTTTTGTGAATTTTTGTATTTCCACACAAGGGGTGAGAGCTTGTTTTAAATTTCCTTAATAAATAATGCAAAAATGAATAATAAATTGTAGTAAAATAAATTAAAAGAAGTCAAATTTAAACAAATTTCTGTGTCACAACTTTAAATTATATAGTTTCATGTGGTTTATATTGTAGAACAGATTGTGATTTTAGCACGTACCAAAAGGGGTGTAGCTTTAAAAACGTATTTTGTTGTTACATAAAGAGCCCTAATGATTTCATTCATTAAACCCAAACAAATATCGCTCTTTGTGTGTCGACTTGGCTTTTTTGTAGTTAAAAGCCGCCTTGTTACGCCTCACCAGAGCTTCACCTTGATCTTGCCCAAGCAACCAGCTTATTAGTTATTAAAAAAAGCCATAGAAACAAAACTAAAACAATTAAGGGGCGGATAACTTAGAACACAACAGGTTGAGTTGTTTTTTTTCAGCTATGGCAAAAAACAACACTAAACAGCAAATAGCTAAGTGAAGAGGAAGTGCAAGTCAATAGACACACTACCGCATTGGAAACGAATATCGAAAGTAATATATGGTAGACAGACGTAAATCAGAACCCAACAGTGGGCGATCTATAAGACGACCCTGTCAGCTTTGGCATGCAGAGGGCATCCAAAAGATGCTTGTTTTTTTTTTGTTCTGCGTCGCAAATGCGAATCGCAAACTCAGATTGCGATACAAAATAAACGAATACATTCCGGTTGAGATCATCTCGAACGGACAGAGAAACAAAACAAAGTAGCTCCAGCGTTTGTTTACTACGAGAATTACTTTATTGGCTTGTTTCACTTAAGCGAATATCAAGCCACACCAACGCAGCCTTTAAAATCTATATTTTAATGCATAAGGTCGATCTATGGAACCGGTTTTTCAGTATCTCTCTCATTCGTTCCTCTCCCGCATATTTGCATTTTTAATGACAATAATATGCCGTGAAATTGTTAACAAATTTTCTGAGCATGACTAAAATAAAGCAACAATGAAACTATGCTAACCATGACTGAAAATTGATAAACACAAAGCTTCCTCCGAAATCATGACCAACTGGCATCGATTTCATTTAAGTGAAAAATAGAGAGAGATCTCGAGGGAGCAGAGTAATTACGGGGCGTATGCGCAACCAAATCCGTGAGCTTGGATTTCAACTGCTGGGTTTAATTCGTTTTCAAATGATAATTAGGCAAAGCAGAAGCAATACAAAAATTTAATGGGTTTTTATAATTTTAGAGATTGATTTGTTCGGAAATGATTGTTTGCTTTTGGAGATTTAAATGGCTTAAGGTATGAGTTAGACTTATTTAACACCATAACTTTTCTCCTTTGCCTTTTTTCGGGTATATCAATTATTCTGTATTTTTAAAAACGTATTTTCTCTACCACAAACAGCTGCTGCAGTTCGGTAGGTACTTTAAATTCCATTTATTTTACACATTTACTTATTTTTTGTCCAAACGGAAGTCAACACACGCCATTCAAAAGAGCGCACAAAAAAACTAAGCCAAACAAAGCGAAATTCTTTTGTTACATATTTGGTGTAGTAGCGAAATTTATGTCCAGCAGAAAAGAACTGAAATTTAAAATTTGTGTGACAGATGGGGCAGTTAAATGATAATTAATTATGATTTAACGAGTGACGAAATCTTGGCCATGACCAGTCAGTAAAATTGGCCAAGAGGCCAGAGGCAAATCACTTTTCGGTCAAGTGGCTTTTGGCCCAATGCCCGGAGTTTGTTAATGAAGTGCCTGATTTTACTGGCTCTGCTGTTTATTGTTTCGCCCAAGTTCAATGCACGCAGCAGTTGGCTGCAATTGTTGGCCAAATTCTATACGCAACCCACATGGTTTGGTTTGGTCTGAAACATTTCGGATTTCTGCCCACAATTCGAGCGAAAAAGGCCACAAATAAGCTGAAGCATTTTTCAGCGGACAGGTGTCAACCAACAATCACGCAATGAAAATGTTTACCTTAAGGCCACAAAAAGCAGAATGCTGAAAAATATGCAAATTGAATGGCCACTCCAGTGAGAACCAAACATGACTGCAAAATGTGGAGATTACTATCCGGCTACACGATATGAAATTCCATTTCTCCATCACTTTATTAATATTTATAATTGAACATGTTCATAAATAATTATATTTAATCCAATCAAGACTCTCTGCTGAAAACATGGCATGCCGTAAATTAATAGTTTTGGTTACAGTCCAGCAGCCAAAATGAAACTGGCGCCTAAAACAAATACCATGCTTAATTGCCTACAAGTTTAATCAATAAATAAATAAATAGCCAATCAGGAAAAGATTTCTATTAAGAATTTCATGCATAATTAAGGCGTGAGTTATTGAAAGGCTGATAAGTCAGCGACTTTTCAGCGTGGCATTATCAAATGAATATTAATTCTTGGCATACAAAAATGCTAAATCTGTGGTGCAATCTTTTTGTTGTTCTCTTTTGGCAAATAGAATTTCTGGTTTGTGTTATTTGTTAGTTATTTTTGTTCGCCCTACCACGTTTCGTGCATTTCCAATTGGCTTTCATCGGCTTACTCAACAACCGAACATGGCCCTCATAACAAAGCTAAGAAATATAAACAAGTACACAGTGAAAAGTGTATTTAAAAGTTATTGGTTAGTTTTAATAATTTGGCGGAAAAATAGACTAGGTTTAATTTGGTCTTCTTAGAAAATGTATGTTAAAAAGCTTAGTGAGAACATTTGAATAAATAAAGTCATTAATATTTTAATATCATTTTAAATGATTTAGAAAAAGTATTTTTGATTTTTTCAGCTATTCTTACTTGTACTATAGATTTTTTTTCGGTGGAGAAAAAGAAATACATACAAATGACGGCTAAATATACCTTTAGATACATTTGTATCTACAAGGCGCTTACGTGAGCAAAATGTTTATGACTATGAAAACAAGCCAAAATCCAAGCCAAGCCAAGAGATTTTCGATAGAAAAAAATCAAATTAAGCTGGATTTTTTACAAATACAATAGGACTGGTATGTTCTATTGAGATTCCTCCTTTGAGTTTTAGAAGCTGCCGACATAAGCTAATTGCCTATAATTACCCTGGGGCACAAGGCGGCAGCTTGGGCTCAAATAGAATATTTATGCCGGGGCAAAAACCACAAAAATCCATTACAAGTGCGGAGACAAAAGTTTTGTAGCGAAATGAATCATGCGGTGAAGTCCGCGCGAGTGGGTAGAAATCTCAGTCATGGATACATCTAAGCCATTTATCCAAACGGATGTTGCTCTGGCCAATATGCAAAAGGGGAAACGGCCAGTGAAAAGCCAGTGGCGAGAACTTGCTTTCTAACCGACGCAAATGAAAGTTGAAATGGAACCGATTTCGTTCCGTCCACCAAGTGGACGACCTTTACCTCGTAGGCTGCCACATCCTCCTTGCCGTAAATGGCAACTGGCGATGAGTTTCGGGGGGCGAACATTGTTCAATCTCTTCGTTGGTCCTCGAGGACACACAAAACCACATTCCTCGGTAAATATTCACTTATTTAGTTAATTGCCAATCTGGCTTCTTCGTTATCTTTATTTATATGGCACATTTGAGACAGACGCCCACCAAAAAAACCCAAACTTAATGTTATAATTCGTAATTGTTTTTGTGCAGTTCCACTCGTTTTTTTTTGGGGGCGTTGTGATTTCGTTTTTCGTATAATTAATAATACACTTTAAATAATACTTTTTACAGTTTTTCTCGTTTCTTTTCGGCTATTTCTGATGACTAGTCTTTATAGCATATTGTCTTCTGTTTCTCCGTTTTTTTATTTCTTTTTTTTGCGACTTTGTCAAGGTCGTGTTGGGTGTTTTTTTTGTATCCGTTCGGTTCGTTATATCTTTCAGTACTGCGGTATCTATTTATCTTTTGCTTTACCACCGAAACTGAACTATAATTATTTTATATTTTTTTTTCTTAATTTTTTTTATTTCTTTGCGTTTCTTCAACTTTTGTGTAAATTTTCATAAGATATTCGTTGCACGTTTTTCGCTGGCTTGCTTGCTAATTTCTTTTTACAACAATTAAGCGTCGCCCTATAATTATTCAAAAAATAGCTGGTCGTTTGTGGTTGTTGCGATTTGTTTTTAACTACTTTTTAGTGGTTGTAGTTGTTTGTGTTGTTGTTGTTGTTATTATCGTTGTTTTTTGTGACAGCCGTTGTCGCGTATCGTTTTTTAGCGCGGCTCAAATGAAACTGGCGAGATTTCAACGATTTCAGCACGACGCCGCCGATATTGAGTTGAGCCAACGGAGAGCTTGAGATATGGCAAGAGATATATAGAGAGAAAAACGCTCGTTTGAGACCTGTCCAATTGAGTTTTTGAGCGACACGCACACGTATCTGTTAGATACTCAGACTTCCAGCTCTTTAATTTGCATATTTCACGATGAAACACAGAAAAACACGTTTCTGGCCTCAAGTCCAAAATAGCAATCGCTGTTCTAACACGCGAAATGAGCAAACTACATACTTCAATTCAAAATCGACTGCAACTTTGTGCGGGAGGGCCAAGAAATGGGGGTTAAAACTTAAAACACGCTAAAACAATTAATCAATTGCCGCTAGTTTTGGCACCCACGATTGCTTTAATTATTTAAT